TTTTTTTTGGGGGGGGGGTGTTCTATAGATCTGTCTTCTAAGGCAGCAGGCACACCAAAGAAGAAAGCTGTTGTGCAAGCTAAGTTGACAACAACTGGCCAGGTGGCATCCCCAGGGAAAGGAGCGTCACTTGTCACCAACACCAATCCCCGAAAGTTTTCTGGCTTTTCAGGTAAGATAAGTTAAGGTCCTCTTATTTGACTTGTTGAAAATTTTGCTTTTTTGTCTCAATAATTTGCTTCCCTTGGGGCTCCACGTGTGTGGCCTGTCTTTGTATACTTTAATCTCTTGTGTCAGGAAGAGGTTTGTTTTGTTAAAACTTTTTCTATGTGAAGTTATTTCCTGGTTCAGGCAGATTTTTATAAACTGCCCCTTTACTTCCTTATATTTTTGTAATGAAAAGACTTTGAGAAATTATCTTCCTAAACTTGCCTGAACTGGAGAGGAAAGTATGGTAGAAGAAGGGAGATACCCTGCACGGACCATATCCCTTAATTTCTCTTATTTCTTACAACTCTTTGTCAAAGGGTTGAAATGTTTGTGGTACAAGGAGCAAGAAGGAACAAAGGATCTAAGGGTATTAGCTTCTGTTTGGAAGCTGCAGCCTCGTCAGGAGGCATGTGCTCTCTGGAATCAGAGGGCTGTGTATTCAAATCCCATCTCCCAAGGGTTGGATTATAGCAGGACAGGTGAACAGTAAAGTGTTTATTTTTTTTTCTTTCTCTTTACCCTATGTACACATATAATCACGTACATGTGGTTTCTTTATATAACATAGAAGTACTGTTTCCTGGACCAAGGATTCAGGAAGATCTTGCTAGAAGGAGAAGATCAGGATTGTTTGTTGGCCTTCAAAAACAGGTAGCTTTGGCCTAGGGGCTTTTATCTCGTCTTCAGTTAATTGTAGGAAATGTTCTTATAAGGCCTACTTTATGAACAAGAAAGCTGAAGTTTAGGTTCATGATAGAGTATGTGCATTGAAGTCTGGCTGTAGTCCCAGTGTTCTTTCACTCAAATCCTATACTTTTTTTATTGTTTTGAGACATTCTTGTAATTGATTCAGAGAAAATAATAAAGCTATTTGGGAATTAAAAGAGGCTTGATGTGATTGAAAGAAGCCTGGACCTGAAGCTGGAGTGTTGGAGCCTGGTTCCAGCCCTGTTGCTTGACAGCTTGGAGCCCTGAGCGAGTCTTTACCTATCTGAGCTTCTGTGAATTGAGGGTGGCAGCATCTGCCTGATCTACTCCAGTGTTCTCCTGAGGACTATAAGAGATAATGTTGTAAAAATGGTGCCTAACTGTAGGATTTTTAGTATTTTAAAACCTTAGATTTGTACTTACTAGGCCAAAGACAGAAATAGAGAAGAATCCAGGTGAAGATAAGGACAACATGAGCCTGGAAGGGCCCTGTTTATTTTTGTTGTTGTTGTTTTTTTAATTTGGAAGGAGTTGAGAGGAATGGGGTGTCCTTACGCTTGCAACCTTGCTGAACATCAATGCTTTTGAGATTTTGTTCTCTAAAATCCGATTTAGAGTCCGGGTCAGAGACAATGACAGATTTATAATTTACAAGCCCAGACAAGAAGCTTATGTCAGCAGACAGCTTGCTGATGGCCTTGCTTTTGCTTTGTAAATGAGCACAAGGAAGTGAGAAGGAATCACTAAAGAGTTGTTCAGCATTATTTTTAGGTATCTGGAGGAAAGCTCATAAGCAACCTTTTAATTTGACAAACAGAAAGAACAGGCTGGAGTGGTGAGGGGAAGGAATGTTGGGAGTACACCACTGGGACCTGACTTTCTTGGTGGCATCCTTGTCCTGGCTCTGCCACCATGGAGGTAGGAGATACTGGAAGTCATCTGCTCTTCTTGGGCCTGGGTCCTCTCATCACTAAGGATTTGCACTAGATAATCTTGAAGGTTCCTTCCAGCTCTGATAATCTATGAGAGCAGTAACTTCACATTGACTAACATGTCCCTTGATTTCTTCCCCCTTTCTCAACCCAGCTTTTCTTTTTTTTTTTTTAAATGTGAATTTATTTATTTTTAAAGAGAGAGTGTAAGGAGAGAGAGAGAGAGAGAGAGAGAATTTTTTTTTTAATATTTATTTTTTTTAGTTATCGGCGGACACAACATCTTTGTCTGTATGTGGTGCTGAGGATCGAACTCGGGCCGCATGCATGCCAGGCGAGCGCGCTACCACTTGAGCCACATCTCCAGTCCCCAGCTTTTCTTTTTTCGTCTTTACAGTTGATAAGATCCTCCTGGTCAGTCTTGGCACAGCCTGTGTTCCTCTCTGAAGCATTCACAGCTCCGGAGGGAGGGTGCCATTGCTCCTTGACCATTAATAGCTCTGAGATTTGGGGAAATGACCTTTAGTGGATACAGTGATGTCTACCCCAGGGAGCTCTTTGAAGAGATTGAGTGAAACTGTGTATAAAGCACCAACAGAATACCTGTGAGTTTCCTCCTTTCCCAGAAAGGCAAAATGAATCATCTTTGTTGTTTCTTCAACAGCCAAGCCCAACAACTCTAATCAAGCCCCCTCAAGCCCCACCCGCAAGACAAGTCTGTCCTCAAGCAAATGTGACCCCAAGCACAAGGATTGTCTGCTACGGGAGTTCAGGAAGCTGTGTGCCATGGTGGCTGATAATCCTAGCTACAACACGAAGACCCAGATCATCCAGGACTTCTTGCGGAAAGGCTCAGCAGGAGGTGGGGCCAGGAGCATCCTAAATGGGCTTTTCCCTGGAAAGCTCAGAGCCTTGGCTGGCTCTGCCATACAAGTCGTTGCACAGGGTCCCATGGTTGGTTTATTACTGTCTTAAAATTCCTAAAATTTTGGCTAGGTGCAGTGGTGCATACCTGTAATCCCAGGGATCGGGAGGCTGATGCAGGAGGACCGCAAGTTCAAAACCAGTTTCAGCAAAAGCAAGGCACTAAGCAACTCAGTGAGACCCGGTCTCTAAATAAAATACAAAAATGGGCTGGGGATGTGGCTCAGTGGTCAAGTGCCCCTGAGTTCAATTCCCCAGTACAAAAAAAAAAAAAATTCTTAACAGTTTTGAACAACGGACCTCACATTTGCATTTGCCACCAGACCCCTCAAATTTTGTAGCCAATTTTCAGAGACTGTGGCATCTTTCTTCTTCTGCTCTTATCCTGTCCCTAGGAAGGCAGAAAAATTCATCTCATTCAACCAGTAGGAAAATTTACTATCCTGCATATTTAATTAAGTTTTTGTGAACTACGTGCACAGCTTGGAATAGAATCTTCCAACTCTGTTTCTTTCATTCATGTAACATTCATGTCACTGAGCATCTGTAAGTGTGCTTGTCACTGGGGACATGAAGTCAAAGTCATGGCTCTTCCCTGTGAGAATTCATCCAGGAGCTAAAGATGGGACAGGTGCAAAAATAGCCAATCACTAAATTCTGGCCTCTGAACTAGTGATCTGCACAGGGTACTGTGGGAGCACAGTAATAGATCTTTTTAAACCTCTGCTTCCTTGAGTTCATCCATTGTTTTAAGCTCTATTTCTCAAGAAGGGTTCCTTTTTTTCTCTCCAGATGGTTTCCGGGGTGATGTGTACCTAACAGTGAAGCTGCTGCTGCCGGGTGTCATTAAGAGTGTTTACAACTTGAATGATAAGCAGATTGTGAAGCTTTTCAGCCGCATTTTTAACTGTAACCCGGATGATATGGCACGGGACCTGGAGCAGGTCAGAGGGAAGGGGAGGAGACTGTATTCCAGGTGGGGTTCACCAAGCCAGGCACCTGCAGCCATTTTTTTTAAATGGTTAGGCACATACTGTTTTAGGAAACTGAAATCTATTTGAGCAAGCTTCCGGTACAGAGGAAGCTGAATGTGAGGCTGCAGCTGTTAATGTCATAAGTTTCTGAGGACTGAACTGATACCACTGCTTAGCCACAAAAGGCCTTATCTCAGAAGTCAGGACTTGAGACTGTGCTCTGTCTCTTGTGGGGCCCTCATTCTGGACTCTTTTGCTTTCTTCCCCCACGGGCTTATCATTCATCATTGATCTGTTCATGTCTCAAGCCCCAGCCGCCAGTTCACATACGTAAACTTCCAAGAATCCTCACTATATGATGACTGCATTTACCTCTTAGCTCAAACTCATAAGCAGGAATCAAGTTGACTGGGCTTGGAATAGTGCTGTCTCTTCTCAGCTAAGCCAGGTGGGCATATTTTATGTGGAGAGATGCACCCCTTTTAGAACTGTTGATGAGATAGTCTCTGAGAAGTGAGGTAAATATGTTGAGTTGGGGACAGGAACTGTGAAATTTCTTGACTCCTCTTTAGTCCTGAGGTTTTAGGGGATACACCTGGCCACCCTGGGGTTGTAGCAGTGGCATTTTGGTTTTTGGAGACAGGGTGACGTGTCAGAGACGATCAGAGTCTTCTTTGAGCAGAGCAAGTCTTTCCCTCCAGCTGCCAAGAGCCTCCTCACCATCCAGGAAGTGGATGAATTCCTCCTGCGGCTCTCGAAGCTCACCAAGGAGGATGAGCAGCAGCAGGCCCTGCAGGACATCGCCTCCAGGTGGGGGAGCTGCCCCAAGCAAGTCAGACCCAATGGGGATGAGCTCAGGGAGAGGGAGTTACTTGGGAAAAAAGGTTTGGGGGTGCAGAGCTCTTCAGAGATCAAACTGAATAGGCCTCATTCCTTTAGGTGTACGGCCAATGACCTTAAGTGCATCATCAGGTTGATCAAACATGATCTGAAGATGAACTCAGGTGCAAAACATGTGTAAGTATCGTCTCCTGGGACAGCCTAAGCTTCCTTTGTTCCCAGCTGGTATCAGGACTCTGGAGTCCTCCTCTGGATTTGAATCCTCATTCCACTTTGTTGCCTCCTAGGTTACTTAATCCTGTCTCCACCTCCATTTTCTTATGTGAAGTGGAGGTAACAATACCTTTTGCAGAGAGTTGTTTTGATTGAAAGTATGGAGCATGTTTAGTAAGCACAGAATGCAGCTTTTGCCCATTCCAGCCCCCTCTTCTGCTAAGACTGCATCCTGATAGATAAAGGTCTCAAAAGACTGAATTGTCAGATTTTTCTCCTACTATGAATCCTCAAGATACTTGAACACAACTGCATATTGACAGATGAGGGTCTCTCCCCTCTGAGAACAGACTGCTATCCAAAGCCATAGTGTCAAATGCAGACGTCTTGGTTCCTTACTCCCTTGACAGGTTAGATGCCCTCGACCCCAATGCCTATGAAGCCTTCAAAGCTTCACGCAACCTGCAGGATGTAGTGGAGCGGGTCCTTCGCAATGAGCAGGAGGTGGAGAAGGATCCAGGACAGAGACGGGCTCTGAGTGTCCAGGCCTCGCTGATGACGCCTGTGCAGCCCATGCTGGTGAGGAGTGTTGCCCTGCCCTGCTGTGCACGTTGCACATCCCTTGGGGTGGGATCTGGTAGGGATGACTGTTGACTGGTTGCAGGGTGAGAGGATTTGGGGAAGGAAGTGAGTAGAGGCGGCAGAGTGTTGCTGTCGAGAAGTGAAGGCACAGGAGGAGACAGGTGATGGGGTGTACTGGCCAGAACCCAGTTCCCACTTTACTACCAAGCAGCTGTGGAGTGTTCAGCAAGTTACTTAGTCTTTTAGTTTCTTAGTCTTAGTTTCTTTGTGGGAATGACATGTGAGACTTGAAGCACCTACCTAAAATAGCTTATCTGTCATACTTGAACATGGGGCTGTGTTCCCTGAGGTCCCTTGACCTGATGCGGGGTGGCTTGGAGTGGGCAGCAGAACCAGGCTCCCTATGATAGGGTAACTTGGGAAGGGAGAGGAAGCTTAAGGAAGAAAGACTAACTCCCACAAAGATCAGCGTGCACGTTTGCTCCTATCCTGAGAATGGGGATCTCCTCTGTGGCATTGGTTTTCCTGTGCAGCAGGACCCCGCAAATGCTGCCATGCCTACCACCAGGCCCTTTGGGTCTTCCAGCAGTGTATGGTGCTTTTTGGGGAACTCTCTTATGTGTTATTTTGAAATTTTGCCTTAGGGTTCTTTGTTTGGAATAGAGAAATGTCCTCTCCCTGCTAGGAGTGTGGAACAGCTGGCACTCCAACAGTGACATCTCCACAGGGACCCCTAGTCACCTGAAGTAGTGGCCTTTTGACTTCTATAGGAATTCTTCTGGAGTGTGTTGTACAGCCTGTCATTTGAAGAATGGCATGAGTTATATAGCTTAGTGGCTGAACACACAATCTTTGGAGTTGAGCCTAAATTAAAATCTCACTCCTGCTGTGTACTAGCTGTGTAACCTTAAATGACTACTTAACCTCTTTGACCTTTAATTTTCTCATCCATAAAATGAAAACGCTATCTATCATGTAAGATGCCACATCAAAGATGAAGTGAGATTATGTATGTGACCTGACAAGAATCCCCAAAACAGTAACTGTTGTTTGGCTTAGGCTAGTACAGGTGTGAGTGTAAGCACACCTCTGTCTGGATGGTCCTGTACTAGGGATCCCTGATCACTATCACCCTGCCAGCCTCATTGGCACCTACAGTCTCTACTCTGACCTCTGTCTGCCTCCTGTGCTGAGATAACTGATGTATTAACAAGCTAGAGGCCCTGCAGGAGCCTCAATTATTGATTTAAAAAATATTATTTCAGCGGAATTTTGTCTGCAATAAATAGCATTCATCTTCCTTGAAACGCAAGCTCCTGTGTCAATGCTGGTAATGATTTGATGCTCAGAATACATTTTTTTAAACAGTTCTATAGAATGAGTATTGTTCCTTTCTTTATTCTTAATTTTTTTTTTTAAGTTGTAGTTGGACACAAACCTTTATTCCATTCATTTATTTTTATGTGGTGCTGAGGATCGAACCCAGGGCCCTGCACATGCTAAGTGAGCGCTGTGCCACTGAGCCACAATCCCAGCCCCTGCCCAGCCTTTTTTATTCTCAGCTTTGTCCTTGCCCTGAGCGTGCACCATGGACAGTCAGTCCCAGAACCCAGATCCTGGCTGACAGCCCTATTCTGGGCTCTCTGGCTGTCTTCCTAAGCTGCACGTCATTGAAAATCTCCAGGCTTTGTTTTTCCCACCCCAAGGCCGAGGCCTGCAAGTCCATCGAGTATGCAATGAAGAAGTGTCCCAACGGCATGTTCTCTGAGATCAAGTATGATGGCGAGCGAGTTCAGGTGCATAAGAATGGGGACTACTTCAGCTACTTTAGCCGCAGTCTCAAGCCTGTCCTGCCTCACAAGGTATTGATCGCTTTCTGTTGGGACTGTCTTTTCCTTTCCTGCTGCTAAGAATCTCAAGGCCAGCTTTCCATAGTCTCCCAGCTAGAGTTCACAGTAAAGACTTTTTGTTTGTTTAATGAGTGGATAAATTCATTTTTGGAGTCTCAATAATGAAGGACTGCTCAGCAGGGACAGCCAGAGTCCAGACATTGGTTAGTCAAGACAGAGCTTCCTGGGACAGTGATAACTCTCTCCCATGATGTTGTGATATAGAGCTTATTTGCTCAGTGGCTGTGCAAGTCTTTTGCATTTTTTTGAATCCTGTGTGCTTCAAGTTAAATTAAAGTTCATGTATAACATTCATTCTTTCAACAAATATTTACCAAATGCATCTGTATTATTGTAGTTAATATGCAAATATCAGTGACAAAAAAGCGGATAAAAGCTTTGGCCTTCATGAAGCTTACATTCTGCTATAATCACAATACCATGGGGACAGCTGGGAGCCCAGATGCCTGCCCTAATTGGGGGAGGTGACAAAATCTCATTCCTGAGCCCTTTTCAGTTCCTAGGGGCAAGTCATTGTAGGTGTCTCTAGGGAAAAGCAGCTGGAGTGACCTGACCTTGCTACCCTCTTCTTTCAAGCTTTGACTCAGTTTTCCAGAGCCCCCAGGGGTCAAGGGGATGCGTTCTACACTCCGTGTACTCCCTTTAGCCCTGCCTTCCTGCTGGAGCACTGGAACCAAGCAGTCAGGCTACTTGTTTTAGGTGTTTGAAAGGAAAACTGAGCAGTGGCCTCATGTGACACTTTAGTGGAGGGTCACATGTCCTGTGGGACTCTGTGCAGGTGCTCAGGAAGTGCCCTGGTGAGGTTGGTGTAAGATGGACACCTCATGTGACCCAGGAAGACAACTGAGCATCTCTTTCCAGCCCTTTCCCATACCAGATTCACTCATCCTTTGCTTTTCCTGTGTTGTGGGTTCTTAAAGGGCTGGATTATTGACAGGGAGTGGGACAGATGGGCAAGCCTTTCCTGATCCTGCTCCAAGCATTCTGGGTAGGGGCAGGCATGTGCCCTGCCCAGGTGGGGAGTAGAGCCAGAGATGTGCTTTCTGGTTCCCATTGCTGTTATCACTTGACAGAAAATACCTTGAGTTCTGATGGCACTTCTCTCTGACTAGAGTTGTTGAAGATTAAGGTTCTGCCTTTATCAAGACAAATCCAATTCCAGGCATACTCTCTTAATCTCTAGATGGCTCTGGGAGTAGAGCTCCTACATAGGGAGGATTCTGCTCACATTTTCCTTCCTCCAGAGAGGGAGTTCATTTCTTTCTAACCAGTCTGTTCTCCCCATCCCAATTCTAAGCCTAATAACCATCTGTCTTCTAAAATAGGCTCTAATCTCTGCCCACCTGTTTTTCTTTCCTCCCCCACCCCCCGACATTTGTCTACCTCCACCTCCTCCCCCAAATGCTCATTTTGTTTCTTCCAAATCTGAGCCTTCTCTACAGCCCATAGACAGTGTCAGCATGGGCTGACTTCTGCCCGGGTCTGGACAGAGGTACTAAAGCAGCCACATCTTGTCCAGGTGGCTGACAGTTTTGCACATTAGCTGTTTTGCACAGAGCATGTTGCTCTGTGTTCCTTCTGAGGTCTGGCTTTGATCTCTATGGCTTGGCTTTGGGGTTTTGCCGCCTGTTCATCCCTCATCAAAGATACTTTTCCACTTCCAGGTGGCCCACTTTAAGGACTACATCCCCAAGGCTTTTCCTGGAGGCCACAGCATGATTTTGGACTCTGAGGTGCTCCTAATTGACAACAAGACAGGCAAACCACTGCCCTTTGGGACTCTAGGAGTGCACAAGGTACTGGGTTAAGTCATTTGTGCAAAAATGCATGTGCTGTCTCCAAAGGAAGTAATAAGTTACTTAGGATAGGGCTTATTTTTTGCTTCTGAACTATGTCTGAGTTTATTTAGTCTTGGGTTTAGTATTTCTTATTCCATAAAAAGACTCTATTAGGAGCTAATTTATAATTGATTTTCATTCAGTTCTGTCATTCAGCTTTCCATAACTGTAATAAAATACTTGAGCTAATTTATAAAGAGAAAACTTTTATTTTGGCTCATTGTTCCTGAGGTTCCAGGCCAAGATCTGAGGAGCCCATTGCTTTGGACCTCTTCATGGTAGAGCAAAACCACATGGATCACAAGCCAGGGAACAAAGAGAGAAGAAGGGGCCAGAGTCCCATGATCCCCCTTGGGGACATACCCACAATGATCAAAGCACCTCCCACAAAATTCTACTGTCTCTTACTAATACCTTCCTGAGACCAAGCCTTTATCACATGGGCTTCTGGTGAACATTTACAATCCCAACTATAGCGATCCCTGTCTGCTGTTTGCCCTTATGGCCCAGGTTTTTCTGGGCAGAAATAGAATTATCAGGTGCTTCAGGAAGCCTTCAGAAGTGGATTGGTACTCCCCATCTCCCCATTTTTTATGCCCTCTTTTTGTCTTTACAGAAAGCTGCTTTCCAAGATGCTAATGTCTGCCTGTTTGTTTTTGATTGTATCTACTTTAATGATGTCAGCTTGATGGACAGGTGAGTTGACTGATTTAGTTTTGTTTGTTTGTTTGGTGCTGAGGATCTAACACAGTTTCTTGTGCATGCTAAGCATGTACTCTGTTACTAAAGTATACCCTGAGGCCTGGCTAGCATCCTTAAACCCAGGAATCTATTTTAATTTCCTAGGTAAGAATGTGGGGGGTTCATTGGGAAGGAGGGGATAGGAAGTGGCTAGCATATGTGCCTTTGTATCCATGAGCTTGGTAGGGGCAAGAGCAGGAGGGAACTGAGAGGTAGCATAGTTGCTACAAATAAATTCCCCATTCACTGTAAGGAAGACTTACCTCTGTGAGCTTAAATCTCAGAGGAAACCCAAATCCCAAAGAAATCTCAGTCTGCTAAAGCAAGATGGACTGTTGAGAGACAGAGATGGTGAACATAGCAGGGTTTCAGTTTATTCTCCAGTGACACCCCTCAGGGCATAATGCAAGTGCTTTTCTGCTCAGAGGTTTTGATTTCAGGAGAGACTGGCAGTAGAAAACTCCCTATTGATGGTAGGGGTGGCTGTGGGTGGGACTGTCTTGGGAAGAGCTAGCAGTCCTGACTTAGCTGCCTTTAAAGGCTTGGGCCCAAGAAACCAGCATCCTGAGGCCCGACAGCCTGCTGACCCAAGGACCTGCCAGCCTTGGGGTTAGGGTGAAGCAAGGCAAAAAAAATACCCAAGTGGGAGTCATTTTTCAAATGAGACCATATTTTATATAATCTGGGCTAGAGGCCAGATCTCCCTTGGCTCCATAAAGTAGAAACAGGAACTACAGCTACGAACTGGCTAACTGGCTCCATACCCCTGCTCACAGTTGTCCATCTTCGGTCAGGATGGAGCCCTGCAGCCTATGGCAGCAGAACTGTCACACATGAGGGCTTTAGTTCACGTCAGACCCTCTCATGCAGCAGCAATTTTATCATTGTGCTCCTTCCCTCAGAACGGCTGCTAGGGGTGGGAAGATCCCTCCCTCAGCTTTCCTGTCCCCTTTAGGCCTCTGTGTGAGCGGCGGAAGTTTCTTCATGACAACATGGTTGAAATTCCCAACCGGATCATGTTCTCAGAAATGAAGCAAGTAACAGTAAGTGAAGAACCTACTCTAGACAGGGTCATGTGGCTTAAAAGCAGGACACAGAACCCCTTGCACAACAAGTGTGACAGAGTGAGTCTTACTTGTCCTTCTGGGGGTGGCTGATGTGTTTGCCTTTGTGTCTGTTGTCTGTTCGTTACCCAGGAGGACAGGGCATGGAAGTCCTTCCTAGGTAAGCACCCTGTGCCTCCAAGCCACTGCTGCGCTCTGGTTGAGAGGTTCCCTGGTTTACAAATCCCTTGTCCCTAGTATTCAAGTTAGGGCGTTTCCAGTGGGTACTCGACTAGCATGCCGTCGATGCACTCCTGTGCCATCCTCTTCTCACACCATCTTCAACATCTCTCCTGCTGTCCCTCAGAAAGCTTCAGACTTGGCTGATATGATAAACCGGGTGATCCGGGAGGGCTTGGAAGGGCTGGTGCTGAAGGATGTAAAGGTAAGGTCATCACACCTGTTGCTTTCCTCTGAGCCTTTCCTGTCCTGGACAGATGGCAGTGCCATCTGAAGAGGTGGGGGTGGATCCTTTCTGGGGCTTGACAGGTCTGTTCTGGATTAGGAGGATGGGTTTTATACATCTCCTGAGGAGCCTGGAGTCCATGGCCCTTCCGGTGTGGGCTGGTGGGCTGCAGTGAAGAGCTAAATCCCTGCCTCAGAGAGTTTCCATTGTACTTTGTGTTCTCTTTCATGTCCCTTCAGGGTACATATGAGCCCGGAAAGCGGCACTGGCTGAAAGTGAAGAAAGACTATTTGAATGAGGGGGCCATGGCTGATACAGCTGACCTGGTGGTTCTTGGGGCCTTCTATGGACAAGGAAGCAAAGGTCAGGGTGGCTGCTGGTCCCTGTAGTGGTACTCTTGGAAAGTGCCATGTCAGAGAGGCTGGCCTTTTTCCTGGCTTGATCTGCCAGCATGGGCCTGGGAGCTATGGACTTGGCACAGTGAACTCTAGCAAGAATCTCCTGAGCTGTCCTGGCACAAGGAGGCTTATCACAAGCTATTTCATCAGGGCCAGTTTTTCCTTTTCAGGGAAAATCTCCTAACTGGAAGGAAGCTGGCATCTAAGGGATTAATACTTTTTAGGTGATTTACTGTATGACAGGCACTATTCAGTTCGCTAGGGCCCTGCAAGTTGGGTGTGATTACCCCTAATTTTTTATAGAGGAAATTTGAGTTCTTACAGATTGAAAAAATCACACACTTAGAGCAGGTAGTTCAGTGGTGGAAAACTTGCCTAGGAAACTCAGGGCCCTGGGTTCAATTACACAGCTAAGAAGAGGTGAACTCTGGCACCCTGATGCCAAGGGGACCGCTTCCTCTCCACAAGGTTGCCCCTCATGGGACTTGTAGGGTTGGCAGAGGTGGTTTCTGCTATTCACACTCAGCCCATATTCTCTACCCTTACCCTGCAGGTGGTATGATGTCGATCTTCCTCATGGGCTGCTATGACCCTAGCAGCCAGAAGTGGTGCACAGTCACAAAGTGTGCAGGAGGCCATGACGATGCAACCCTTGCCCGCCTACAGAAGGAACTGGACATGGTGAAGATCAGCAAGGTGAGCAAGGGAGCCTGTTGATCCTGGCTTCTGATGGGCTGTTATGAGGCAGACGCTGTGCTTTGAGGACTGCAGATATCATTTATCTCCTCCCCAGTAAGGAGAGTGCTGTTTGGAGTGCCCGCCTTGTAGACAGTGGCCTGCATGTCCTGGAGGCCTCACTCCCTTTGAGCAGGGAGGATTACATGGGTGAGGAGTTGGTCACATCTCACAATTTCATTACCAAAAAGGGTTTAAGCCTTGTTGCAGCTTAGGAACAGCCCAGAACAGCATCTTTCTTCCTCCAGGATCCCAGCAAAATACCCTCCTGGCTGAAGATAAACAAGATCTACTATCCTGACTTCATCGTTCCAGACCCAAAGGTATTAGCCCAGTGGCTTGGGGTCTTCTAGCCTACAGAATCAGTTTGCAAGTTAGTTCTCTAGGGCCACAGAGAAGTTATCCGAACCTCACAGAAAGTCACCTTGAGATGGGGATCTGGATTATTCAGCCAAGTGAGAAGCCTAGGGATGACTAGCCACTGCTGAGGAATTGTCTTCAGTGAGGAAGATAATAGAATACCCACCCCCTGTCACAGAGGGTCTGTTCTAATGGGACCTGGCCTAATCTCTCGTTTTCGGCGGACACATCATCTTTGTTATGTGGTGCTGAGGATCGAACCCGGGCCGCACGCATGCCAGGCGAGCGCGCTACGGCTTGAGCCACATCCCCAGCCCTGGTCTAATCTCTAAATAATGGATTCACAGAAGAGGCAGGACTAGCACCCAGGTCTCCTAGCTGCAAGCCAGAGCCTCTGTGTTTTGACCCATTCTGTTTCACTTCTGGCTGATGGGAGGTGTTTCCTTCTCAACTAGAGATGACCTGACCTTCCTGCCTTGCTCTTGACAGAAAGCTGCTGTATGGGAGATCACAGGGGCAGAATTCTCCAAATCTGAGGCTCACACCGCTGATGGGATATCCATCCGATTTCCCCGCTGTACCCGAATCCGAGATGATAAGGACTGGAAATCTGCCACTAACCTCCCCCAACTCAAGGTGCCAGCTCTCAGGCTGCATGTTTGTCCTCCAACCCCATCTCAGTCTTAGAACCTTGGGCATCTGGCCTATTGACATGTCCTGTCTTCCTCTTGACCCTATTCCACTGATATAGCAAGGAGGGCAAGTAAAGGGAGACTAAACTGGCATGAGGGCCCTTCCCACCAGCTCCAAGTAGACGGTCTCACTTTCTTTAGGATCCCCTGAAAGGCCCTTGGTCTAGCTGCCTCATGAGGCCTTGCCCAAGTCCTTTGCTGATTAAGAGCTGGAGTCAAGAGAACAGTTACTCGGGTGAAGGCTCCATGTTGGAAAAGCACCAAGGAAGCCACCTCCTTTTCTCCTTGCTCTTTGTCTTTCTCTCCTGTTTCCCCAGCCACGCGTGCCTAAAACAGACCACACAGCACCCTCTGAGGCATGTCTGGGGAAGGGAGTGATAGCACCTGACCTTCTCCTTCTCAGGAACTGTATCAGCTGTCCAAGGAGAAGGCCGACTTCACTGTGGTAGCTGGAGATGAGGGAAGCTCCACTAAAGGAGGCAGCAATGGCGAGAACGAGGGCACTTCTGGGTCTGCTGCATCCCGCAAGGTCCCCAGAGCCTCCCCCAACAAACCCTTTCCCAGTGCCCAGAAGGCTGAAGGGAAGCTGAGGATCCCCAACAGCAAAGGTAGCCAGGATAAAGAAGGGGGTCTGGGGGGCGTAGGGGCAGGGACCCAATCTCACATTCCAGTTCTGAGAGCATGTGATCAAGTATCCACTGCAGCTGACAATGACCACATTCCTGGTGTGTGTCTAGCCATGGATCAGAAGATGCTCTGCTAGGCACCCCTTATCAGCTCAGCAAACCTGAATGATAGTGCACCAGAGCTGGTGTGACTGGGGACTAAGCCACTTTTGAGCTAAAGCATTGGGCTGATAACTCTTCCCTCTCACCCATGCTCATGGCAGGGGAAGGATCTGGCCCAGCTTTAGGAACCATGATCAGCAGTTCTTACTCTCCTAATTCTCATCCACAACTTTGTCCTGCAGGCAATAAGCCTACCACAAAGTCTTCAGTGAAAGTTGGGGAGAAGAGGAAAGCTACTGATGAGATGCCATACCAAGCAAAGGTGAGTGCAATGACAATGCAGAGGCAGGCCAGTTTGGCCAGGGCCCAGCGTTTCCAGCCTTGTGCACATGAACTTTGAAAGATGAGCAGAGGAGTTGGGGGAGGCTTGTTAATTCCTTCCCCTCCCACAGCTGCTCCTCCCTCAGGCAGGCCAGCATGCTGCTACTCCACCCTGTGCCCTCTTGTTACCTTGCAGAGGCGGCCAGCCAGCCGGCAGAGAGGAAGGAGAGCTGTACCAGCAGGCAGGAGATAGAGCCCAGCTGCCAGTCCCCAGTCAAATTTACATTAAAGGGGAGAAAGCCCAGTCTGGGTGTGGGGTGCAGCGTGAGTCTGTGGTTGGGGGAGCAGGTCCAGCCAGCAAGGAGGGAGAGTGCACTGCTTTGATGACTTTTCCCTTTATGCTGTCAGTCTTGTTTGGCAACATCTGTTGAGCGCCTGCTGAGGCCAGGAGCTGGGTTAGCACTGGCTCAACCCTGAGGAACTGCTGGCCCAAGGGGTGGAGGGAGAAGTAAAGCTAATCCCTAGAATGATTGTGCCCCACCCAAGAGAAGCACAGAAGTCTTGACAACTCATAGCCTGAACCCAGTTCCCAGCAGACTAGTAGAAACCATTTCCTTCTCTTCTCCCTTCCTTGAAGCCCTTGAACCTATGCATAGTAATGAGCAAGACTACTGACCCTGCAGTCTACCCACCTGTGCAGTGGACTGTGATCTTAAGGGGAGGTCATTGAGTCACAGCCACTGGTTGGCTCCTGGAGACACATCCTTTTCCCATATCTAGGTCCCAAATGTTGGAACCCATCTCCTCCTCCTCATCACCTGGCAGGGAAGGGAAGAATGTCAGGCCTGTGTCATCCAGAGTGACTGGAGGATGGGGGGGGGGGGATTGGCACCAGTGTCTTTTCTCCAGGACGCACTTTCTAGTTAAGTCCTAAACTCCATCTCTGGCTCTTGTCCTTGTCCTAAGTGAACTGTATTATACTAAACTGGGTAAAGATCCACCTGCACACCAACCCCTCCCTGACTCCTCTGTGTTTGCAGGTGCTGCTGGACATCTTCACTGGGGTGCGGCTCCACTTGCCACCCTCCACCCCAGACTTCTGCCGTCTCAGACGCTACTTTGTGGCATTTGATGGGGACCTAGTGCAGGAATTTGACATTGCCTCAGCCACACATGTGCTGGGTAGCAGGGACAAGAACCCTGAGGCCCAGCTGGTCTCCCCAGAGTGGATTTGGGCATGTATACGAAAACGGAGGCTGGTAGCTCCCTGCTAGGACTCAGGTCTTCCTGCCCCCTTGGGACATCTGCACCCTTACCACACTACTCTGCCAGCCTTAGCCTGGTGGTAGGTAGGTGGAGGAACAGGGGGTTGTCCTTTCGTCTTCAGGCAGCAGTCTTCCAAAATCTGCCAAGTCTTCATGGTCTCTTCTGGAGCAGGAATTATTTGCTGTGGGCACAAGTCAATTTCTCTTGCTGTTTTAGATCTCATATCTGGGTGCTGGCTTTGTCATTTTTGTTTTCTTCAAAAAGCTGAGTTATTTTTATAAATGAAACAACCTGCAGCATCTGTCCTTCCCCCACCATTCCCTTAGTTTCCTTAGTGGTCAAGGAGTGAAGGCTGGGCTACTAAAGCTGGCGGCAGACTTCTCGCTGCCTCATTTTACTTCCATTCCTTTTAAAGCTGTATTTAAAAGACCACCCCAAGAAATGCATCTTACATTTGGCAAAACTTAACTATCTTTTGAAAGAGAACAAAATTAATTTTGATGACTTTATTCTCCATGTTCTCTATTACAGGGGAAGGACTAGGATTGGGTGGAAATGAGGCCTGTGTATGGGGAGGGAGGTTATTTGGGCTACTAGGGTGGGGTTATAGAGGCTCCAAAAAGATCAACCTGCCTTCTCAAAATCTGGAAATAAATGCCTTTTAAGAATACAGATTCACACCTCAGTACAAGTCTACATGCCCTGCTTACAAAGACCTGCCAGCTGTGACTGATTTGTTTGAAGAACAAAAGGAAAACAGTTTGTATAGAAGAGTGGTACCAGTAGCTGTTTTTGCAGCAATGGATAAAATGGAAATATCCTCTGAATCTATATATGATTGTTGAACATTTGAAATGTGACAAGTGTTGGGTGCAGTGGTTCACACCTAAAATCCTAGTGACTCAGAAGGCTAAGGCTGGAGAATCACAAGTTTAAGGCCAGCCTTAACTCAGTGAGGTCCTAACTTAGTGAGACCTTGTCTCAAAAAATAAAAAGGGTCATGATGTGGCTCAGTGGTAAAGCATCTGAGTTCAATCCCCAGTACCCACCCTCCAAAAAAGTGGCTAGCATAACTTAGGAACTCAAGTTCTTTTAATTCAAATGGCCACAAGTCAGTAGTGACCACAATGGACAGGTATAGACAGTCCTGAAATTTAATAGCTATAACCTTAGCAAGTTAACCATCTGAGCATCAATTCCTATAGAATGGGGAAATTCATTGTTCCTAAATCACAGGGTGGCTGTCAGTGACCTTAGATACATGTCAGAACGTGGCACACAATATGTAGAGTTGGGAATGTCACCTTTGGTTTGTGTGGCCAGGAGGGCTTTTAAATGCAGAACCCACAGCTATGCCTGCCTATTTAAACTCTCCTTGCTCTGACTGCAGGCTCATCAGGATTCTGTGTGGTTATAGACTGGCTTCTGTCTCAGTCTTGCCACCTCATGAGAATGAGCTCTTTTTCCTTATTGCATTAGCAGGCTTGTTTGTCTACCTCCTGAATTGGATTTACCCTTTTAAACACGTGAGCATCTGAACTTGTAAGATAGAGGGCCACACCCCCCTGCCCCATGTACTCAGCTAAGGTATGGGAGGCTGCCAGTCAGGCCGCTTACAGGCCAGCTCGGATGTGACCTTGGTTTCCACCTGGAGGGGCAGGGAGGTGGTGCAGGTGCTGTCCTTGCTAGGAAAGGACACCTCATGTTTTTGAACTGGCACCCTTCAGTCTGGCTTCAGTATTGGGACTAAGACACCCTAATCTGTCCTATGGACACAATGCTGCTCCTCTGAGCAATGGCCTGCATAGATTTCCAGCCTCAGGCCAAGCAAGTGGGCAAGGACAGAACAAGGCTTCCCTCGAGTTCTGCCAAAGGCACTGACTTTTCATCCTCGGGGCAGCCTCCTAGCCACAGGCCATGATCTTGGCCACAAGCTCAGCCCTTGACCCTTCTCTGCCTTCCTGGATATCAGCTTCAATTTACCTTCATCAGTCTTTTGTATGTTTCCTTCCAGTCTTGGGTGCATCTTTTTCTTTGCTGCACAGATTAGACTGTATATACAATCTTATATCCTTTATTTCTACCTGACCCTAATCATCACCATGTTAAACCTCCCTAGGCCACTGGCCACCTGCCCCCTTTTCAGCTGTTCTTTAGATGCTGCTGGCTGGCAACAGGTAGAAGTCACCACTGGGTACCATCCACAGCACTAATAACCAAATGATGTGCCTCAGCCTCAAACCTTCCTCTGCGCCAGTCTCCCTCCTCTTCTGTCTTCAACCACAGGAATGTACCCACATCGCCCTACTCTCCCAAGGGCTGCACTCTCCTTCCCCTGGGCAGCTGGTTAGGGAAGAATGTGCAGGACTATGCACACACAGTCTACCCTTGAAGCTGGGCCCATCTTTTCTGAGCTGTTTCAGCCATACCACGACTGTACCCAAAAGCTACCATACACCTGCCAGGATAACCTGAAGACTTTTACTGGCTACACTGGCTGTCCTCGATTCCTTTCTACCTAGAACTTGAATGCTTAGCAATACTAACTAGATTACTGTGAATATCTGAACTCATTTGGTGCTTCTTCATGTTTGGTCTAGGGATTCATCCTTTCCCTACCACAGCTTCTTCTCCTTTCCCAGCTGTTTTATGGCCTCTTCCACATACTGCTTCTGAGCAGGGATACTGACCAAGGTCCCATGGCCCAACATTTCAAAAAATAATCTCTCAAGAGCATAGCCTTGGATTTACCTGTAGTTTATCAGTTTGTCAATAATCTAGCAGACCTCTGGCATCCTCACACCAGATCCAACAGGCATCTATGTTGAAACTTTATTACAAAATTATAAAGCAGAGCTCTGTAACAAAAAAATACACATTTGGGTTTGCTTTAACACCCAAGTGAGTCTGAGAATCTTAATATAAGCCACTTGAAGTATCACATTCACATCCAAGAGATTTCAACAAATTTATACAATATATATTGAGCACTAATTCCTGTACAGCTTATTCTTATTAGTTTGGATCCAACTATTCCAAGGTATTATGAACCAGTCAGTTGTCCAAGTCTTTTAAAACAAGTCTCAACTGAAATCTCAGCAATCACAGCAAAATCCACAGAATAACTAGAGGAATTAGATGTTGCTGTGATAATTAAGACCAAGGATCCATGAGGGACAAAAGGGGAGGCTCAAGGATAAAATAGCAGGTTTTCTACCTGGGTTAAATATGAACTGGAATGGGATCTTAGAATTCCCAACTTTTATTTGGTGTAATAATAAAGACAATACAAAAACAAATCGGTTGTTTGACATCTTTTTTCCCCAATGGAAACCTTCACCAAAAGATGAGATTTAAAGGCAAGTTCTTATTTTTAAAACTGAGTGGCACCAGTTCCAATTCTTACTGAGGTCACCAACCAGCCACCAGTATGTTATTTTCAGTTCCTATCTATCTAGGAGGAAAGTTGGGAGGTAGGGGAGATGAGGCCTCAGCAGAGAAAGGAGGGAGAGCCTTGAAGTTATTGCTAGATCTAACTGAGTTGCATACACAGACCTGTTTCACAGTGGAATTGAGGGAGCTGAATTCAATCCCTTTGATAAACTGGTAGGCATTATAAACTACAGTACTAACTATTCAGCAGAAAGGTGAAAGGCAGAGTCTTGACAGGAAAATCTGATCCCAACTGTGGCCCAGATTATTCTGACTTGGTATAAGGTTGAGTCGAGTGTCCCAGAATAACATTGCCAACTACACCTCTTAAGGTGTTTAGTGGTTGATGATAAAAAAACTTTCTAAGATAATAGGTCCCCTTAGAAGTTTTCCTCTGCCTTCTAGAATCACAATTGATTGGTTCTAGTCTTGGACCTCAGCTGCAGCATGTTGGGAGAGGGGAGATTCTGCCAAGGCCCTTGGGTATTTCGAGTGTGTTTTATCTGTTGGTAATGGGCGCACACAGTTCCGACAGCAGGCGTGTTCTGTGCTCTTTTGTGCTTCTCCAGCTCATTCAGGGGTATAAAAAAACAGTAGGAGGGTTCAAAAACATTACCTACTCATTACATGGCCCTTCATAAATGGTCCAGAGAATGCTGTTCCCAAATCTACAGAATGAGAAAGGAAATTAAAGTAGGGACTTCCAGCTGTTTAGTTAGGTGCTCTTACATGTATTTTTCCAGGAACTTCATGAGAAGTCTGTCTAGAGGAGAGCAACGCTCTTTGCCTGAGCCTGTCTATGCCTTGGGTGAGACCAAGTTTAAAACCTCAGTGGGAAAGGGAGAGATTTCATTGAAATGGTTAACAGTCCTGTCTGTAGGAAGAGGATCAGAAGCCAAAGTTAAGAAGAAAGCCACTGCCTCCACCAAATGCGTCCCCTTCCTCATAATCTGAAGTTCAGGATGTTGCAAGGTCAAGCCCCAAAAGAGGAAGCAGTAGAGTATCCATGCACCATCCCTTGCACACACAGACTAGACTAGATTTCCCAGCTGTTTGGGAGTCAGATGTTTTGTTGGCTCCCTAGATCAGGTTAGGAGATTGATAGCTCCCAATCCCAACCCTTAAGGAAGTGACTTCACAAATCGAAAATTTTCTATAATATTTTCCTATAGAATTTTCTCACCAGAGGTAAGTTTACTGATCCAAATTCTGCCCTAAGTACCACTGTTGATCTTAACCACATAAACTAACACATTTTTGGTCCAAAGAAACAAACGGATTTTAGGCAGTATAGCAAGAGACAGGTATGTTAAAGCACAGAAAGCCAGAGAGACCAGAAGTTTAAATCCAAATGTGCTGGGTCTAGGAGGACTTCTGACTGGTGGGATACAGGAGGAAGGGTGAAAATGTGTCTAGGTTCTCAGAGGAAGGAAGACATGGTCCAAGTTCTGGAAAGTCCTCTGTTCATCAGTTACTACCATCACCCAAGATCACTAATGCAGGCACTCACCCATGTGATTTGTACCAGTTCCCACTGGCCTCGGGGGCTCTGCCAGCCAAGAGGTGCACCCCTATGGCAAGACAGGCATGCCGAGGTATGACATGGCATCTTTGCTTGCCCTGGTCTTGGGAACACTACAAAATTTCCTGTTAGCCTGCCCCTCTGCAAGCTGACCAACCCTGAGCCCAGATACCCTGGGCTATATCCCTGTAAGGCACTGAAGAAGCCGGTGCCAGCCCTTAGGACCGGAAGACGTGAACAGCTCGGATCACATACTGCCGGCAGATGGGACATTCATTCATGCGCTTGCCACATTTGGTACAGGTTACCATGTGGCCACACTCCAGCAGAACACAGTCAATGGGTGAGTCCATGCAGATCTTACACAGGTTCTCCTCCAGTCCAGACGGCATTGCTCCCCCTGTACAAACACACAGTGCAGGAAATGGGCAGAGGACAAAGTGAACAGAGTATCCATTGTCTCAGATTGTCTCAGAAATTATTTCAGTGTGTTTGGGAAGTCAGAGGACAGAGGTGGGAGAAAATTGGAAAAATGAAATCCCCCAAATTCACACACTTCCTTCAAAATAGAGCTCCTTCCAGAAAACTTAGCAACTAATCCCAGTTGCTTGTTTAATCCATACCTCCTCCCAAGACTATAGATTTGAAGATAGTACTGTGGAAAAAATACAGCCAGAGCATGGAAACTAGGGCAAAGTCCTCAAAGCTTAAAAGAAATTAGATAAACCGGGCTGGTGGCACATGCCTGTAATCCCATTAGCTCAGGAGGCTGAGATAGGAGGATCACAATTTCAAAGCCAGCCTCAGCAAAAGTGAGGCACTAAGCAACTCAGTGAGAATGTTGTCTCTAAATAAAATGCAAAACAGGTCTAGGGATGTGACTCAGTGGTCAAGTGACTCTGAGGTCAATCCCTGGTATCCCCCACCCTACAAAATGAGACAACTGAGGGTGTAATATGGTGAGTGAGGGTTACTTGGACTCATTATCCCCTGAGGTAGAATATGCAGAAAAGACAAAACTGGTTCAGGAAGTTTAGACACAAGCAGAACTGTAATGAATGGTGCATTAGGAACCATGAGGCTTACCTATAAACACATTCCCAATTTAAGGAAGTTAAAGATCATGGGGGCCTCCTGTGCTATCCCATAAACTAGCTTTCTGAGGAGAATTCCTGATGCAGGAGCTCAGCAGTTTACCACTCCCCACTCTGTGCCAGTCTCACAAAAATTTTTTCTGGCCTCCTGACTGCTGCTATTCACATTGTATTCTATTTTTGGTTTGCCTACTTATCAGTCTCCCCCCAGGAGACTTAAGTAGATTTAATTTAACATACTCAATTTCCACAATCATATACTTAGCATTTGCTATGTGCTGAGGCTTCGTATTAATCTTTGAAACCCCAAATCACAAGTCACTCAGTAGATATTCTCAAAATGTCTTATAATAAATGTCTCCCAAGGGAATCGAAGAAGCTCACCTTGACCAAATGTCTAATGTGCAACAGGCTCCAAAGAACTTTGCATGTATTAACCCACTGAATCCTCATAGGAACTATGAAGTAGGTAAATTTATTTTTCTCATTTTATACATAAGGCAACTGAGGCTAGAGTTAAGTGACTGCCCAAGAGCACACAGCTACTAAGTGGACGAGCCAAGATTCAAACCCAGGCAGGCGGGTCCCACAGCTGCTCATTGGCAGTACAGCCTTCTGGATAAGTGCTCTGTGGGTAGAGACTACTGAGACAGTATTAACTGCCCAGTGTACAGAGTTCTCAGCAAATGCTAACTGCCTTGTGCCAGTGGTAGGATATGGTAAGCATGTCCAGTATCCTAGTTCAGCTGCATAAACAAAAAAATCTTCATGTTCAAAACTCCGGCTATTTCTAGCATGTCTTAAATTGCACCTGAACTGGGTCACCATAAACAGAGAAGTAGTTTCATACCAGTCACTGCTATATGGGGCTTCACCATTCCACAGGGGCAGTCTCTCAATCTATTGCTTCTAAAGTTTCTTTTTCTCTTCTCTGAACAAGTAATAAAGTCAAGAAAGACCTCCCCTAGGAGGTGGGCAGCTGTGAATGGGAGTAAAACCTATTTACTTCTCTTGAGGGGCTGTTGCCCTAACAGGGAAGGTTTGGAAGGCCTACAAATCTCAAGATCTACAGGATCACTTTGTAGAACTTCAGTTACTTTTTCCTTTTTTAGGAGCAACAATAAATTCATCAACCCAGTCCTCAGCATTCTCCCAGGGAACAGGGGGGAAAAAAAGGCAGGCACCAAGTGAGGGACGAACCCAGCCTCCAGACAGTTTCAGGAAACAGAAAAGCTCAACTCCCTGCTCCATTCTGAGCAAAAGGCCATTTTACTAATTAACAAATTTGGGTAGTGCTCTGAAAAAGGTTTAAAATGCTTTGCAGACCACAACACTACTCTGAGACTGTTTTCTTGGGAAGGAACTCACAACCCTAGACCTTGAGGCTTTCAAAATGATGTAACACAGTTTAGAATACTTCCTGGATTGTCAAGAGTGTATCCTGGAGCTCTACCACTGGTGGACCTCAACACACCGGTGGGTTACAGCAGTTGAGGTGGGAGATGCACCTTGTGCTCAGAGAGCACTCCAGGTGACTCCTATCCTGCTCTTTCCACAGCAGCTGACTACTGCCCAGCCCCATACCAATAGCTCCTTCAGTTCACCACCCTTTCTCTTTGGTTGGTACTAGAAGCTGGTACACATCTCAAGTGACTTTCCCACCTAGACCACAACTGAGTGGAAACACAGAATTAGGAAAAAACAAACTGAGCAGGACTTGTGGCAAAAAGGCATCCCAGAGCTGTGAAGATCAATCTGCCCCTGGGCACACTGCCACTCTGCTTTCTTCCCAGAGGACAGGAGGATGAGCATTTCTAAAGACCTGAGAAACCCCAGTGAATTTCCACACACCCTCTCTTTGGAAACCCATATGCTCATAATTTTAAAGAATGTCAAAAGGGATTAGGGTTGAAGATGGGAGGACAGAATCAGTAGGAGCCTAAGCCCATTTCCAAAAAGAAACAACTACATACCGTTTTGGTCCTCAGCACCACACACTGAAAAGGAAAGAGAAAGATGTCTAAATATGTGATGGTGTGATGGCACAAGGGAAGTCGCCCACCACCTTCATGTCATTTCTGACTCTAGCCACTTCCCTGCTGGGAACCAGGCCTGTCAAAAGTCTGCACAGACACTTGCCCTCCTCCTTCACTGCATGCTGAGAACTCCCACAGAGCTCCTGCTGGTACATCTGCTCTACTCTTAGAAGAAGGTCCTCCATTAGTCTGCAGGAGCAAAACCACCTGAAGGACACTCTAAATATGCCACATCCTTTCCTATTGCCTTTGAATTCAGCATTCAAGTAAAAGAAAAAAAGGAATGAAGAATCTGGCTGTTTCATTTAGTCATGGGTTCTGGATAAAGTTCTCACATGCAGTCATTATTCCACTTCCCAGGTCCTTGCAACTCTAGGGAGACTTGAGAGAATCTCAGAGAAAACTGAGACACCATGTCAGTAGGTCTCAGTCTGCAACCAGGTGAGTACTTAGATGACTCTTAACTCTGATGAATTTTTGCCATTTGAATTTATTAGAAGAGAGCCTGACATCTGGCTTCAACCACTGTTATGCAAGGAATCAAATAAAGCTCTGTGGGAACTGTATCAGCTGGGAATGGGAAGGAAGGTGAGGGTTTGATGGTGAAAAATTGGGGTAAATATTGACTTCAAAACAGCCAAACACCTTTCTCTTCTGTAGATAGGTATTAAAAAAATACCTACCATGAAATCAGTGTGGCATTAAATATTTCCCCAGACTCAACCACACACTAAGATATTGTACTAGATAACTCCTGAAAATGATGTCATGTCAAATGCTTTGGGAAATGAACAAAAGGTATGGCCCAAGTGCTGGCAGAACAGATATGTTCTCCCACTGTGGTTGCTGAGATTCACTTCCTAATCTCCCAAATATGCATGTGTTGCTGGAGTAGGGGTGAGTATGGAGGAGGCAGCGTATGGCAGGAAAGGCATGGGCTTAGACTAGAAAATCCTCCATTCAAACCTGAGCTCCACAATAAGGGGGTAATGCCAATAATCTCCCTCCCTGCTCAGGTTGCTTTGAGGATGAAACAAGTGTGTACAATATGAACCAAGTCTTGGCACTTAACCACAAGTGACAGCTATGATTAGATGGTACAAATATAAGTGGCCTTCCTCCTCAGCTTAAAAGCATGCAACTGAATCAGGTCATGCCATCATGTTTTGGGGTGATAGCAAACACCCTAGAGCTCTGTGTAGCTGCCACCCAGACAGCCCTCACCCAAGTGCTGGAGTCCTTTCTGATCCTTGTACAGCCGTGTCACTCTCTCCATCAGCTCCCACTTCTCACAGCAGCCCTTGTAGTTGACAAAGTTGCGAGCCAGGATCTCTTTCAGCTGCCGCACCGTCAGGCCTTCAATGTCTTCCAGGTGGGTCAGGTCAGACAGAGAGGCCCGCCGGCCTGGGACAAAGCTGTCCTCAGAGTCAATGGACTGAAATGGCAAAGATGAGATGGGGGTGTTCAGCTCTTACTTCCTCCGAGCACCTTTCTTCAAGGACTCCAACTCACTCATTGCACTGCATTTTGGTGATGGATCTCAAGAGTAGGAACAACAGAAACAAAGAAATGCCTGGCATGGGCCTTTGCGCTGCAAACTGGACTAGAGTCTCTTCCTGACTCACAGATCTGTGCCCAGATGCAGGTAGCCACAAAACAACCATGAAGTATAACATATACAGGGCGCACGGTCTTGAGTCAGACGGCCCTTTTTCTGATCTGACCCCTCTGCTATCTAAATGTTAAATAATTCCTGGCAAGCTGCTTCTCTCCTCTGGGCCTGTATGCCCCTCCACAAAGTATATAAAGCAGTGCTACCATATAAGGTTCTTATGAAGATCAAATGTGGCAGCGCATGAAACCCCCAATCATGGTGCTCGCCTGTCTCTCTGCCTGGGAGAGACTGCTTGCCTCTGGAAGAGGCCATACACATCCTCAATCATGGTTCTTGGCCCTGACAGCTGTGCTGTCTGGACTGACCTTGGCCTTAACTCCTCATTATCTGACCCTCTCCTCCTGACAATGGCTACTGTGTGAGAACACAAAAGAAAAGAACAACTAGGTTTTTACAGTAGCACCTATAGCCTACCCTCTGGCAGCTCTTAGAAAGTCAAAAGACCGGGAACATAATGGGCCACAAGGCTCCAGTCTCCACTGTGACCTCATCCCTGCTTACTCACACACTGACAGCACCAAAGGTTCATTTGGAATGCTAGCACTAAACTCCCCGGAGAACAAAACCTCAGGACCATCATATCACAGACTGGTTTCTTCTCTCTCCACCTCGGAGTCGGCTAAGAGGCTCTTAAGAGCATCCCAAGAATACCAGTGAAAGAGCAAAGGCAAAGGCGCAGACCGGAGTAGAGGCCCCACCTGGGTCTCATCCTCGGTAGGTGCTCTGGCTGTGCTCTCCAGGTAGACAGGCTCCTCTTGGTCCTGAGACACATGGCCATTGGCCTGTGGGAAGAGAAAGGTGCCATCACATCCACAGAGATGTCCAGGAAATTTGCATAGCATGAGACTCTTTCCAGCTCACATGTCCAAAATGTATATTCCCATATCCCCCAGAGACCAAACTTCCCACAACAGTGTCACAAATGCCTGTTCTCTACACCAAACCTGTCACTCAGAGAAAACTATACAGATTTCAGTAGACTCACAGCTGCCCTCCAGAATAAGAATGTGTTAGTGAATTCTACCCACGACCAAGATGGCATGGCCCCCACTCACAATTTATTATCAGCCTGAACATAATCACTGTGTCCATCCCACTGCTGAACTGCTCTCTCCCTACCACCAAGTTTGCTCCTGACACTGATCCAAAATTTCCCTCTCCACAACTTTCACCCAATGCTCCTTGTTCTGTCCCTCAGAACAATGGCCACTGTTTTTCCAAACAGCTCATAAAATCTCTTCCTCCTTCATACTGAATCTCCCTGGCTTCCTCAATGGAACCTGAGGGAATAGTGCCTAGATCCTCACCACTCTAGTCCTTGTCTCCAGCCTGGTCACTGCTCTCACATCTTCAAAATGTGCTTCAACCAGCAGGGCTTACTAAGAGTGTCTCAAAACCTGTTCAAACATCGTTTAATGAATCTACAAATCTACCAACCTAAGTCTACAGAAGACAAATGCCTAGGCTTGCAGAGTTTCATAATACTCAGAATTCTAGCTCCCCAAAAAGAGCCTCCTAGGTGCTACTCTAGGGGAGGGTTTGCCAAACAGTAGTTACAGCTCTGAGCTTTCTGTTCCATCACTATTTATACCACAAATCCCTATTTAGATCCTCTTCACTCCCTGCTGCTTCCAGGAAATGGGTCTGGTATGAGCTCAGAGCCTTTCAACCAGACCCTCAGAGTACCAACAAAGGGATAATTTGGGAAACCAAACTCACCCACTGGCCTAGCCACTTATCAAAAGAGTCAAACTACTGTGGAAATGAAAACAAAGACAATATGCCAGGTGACGACAAGAACCTACATGTGTATAGGGATGAATCCCAAACAACATCCACAGCTCCAGTTTTCTTTTTTTGGGTACTGAATTCAGGGGCACTCGGCCACTGAGCCACATTCCTAGTCCTACTTTGTTATTTTATTTAGAGACAGGGTCTCACTGAGTTGCTCCACCTTACTAAGTTGCTGAGGCTGGCTTTGAACTTCAATCCTCCTGCCTCAGCCACTGCATTTACAGGTGTGTGCTACCATGCCTGGCTACATCTCCAGCTCTCTTAACTTATGTAGACATGGTGTCCATCATTCTCTTGAGTCTGTTTCAGAGTCTAGCCTGTTCCTTGGTGGACAGCTTTTGTATGTCCTTTGTATCCCAGAAAGAGAAACTGGACCTCATGCCACAAAGCATGCTCCTGTATTGCCAGTTTGCCCACTGGCTAAATCAAAATCCACGACTCATATCTGTCCACTGTTTATTGCAGACTTTTCCTTCCCTAGCAACTGTCACTACGGCACTAAATGTAAAAGACAGAACCCTAGTGGAGCAAATAATATGAAAAGATTTGCATTCTGAGCACAGCTCACTTGTAGACTCAACTAATAGCCTTGCATAGGGTGCCTAACTTGGCCATGCCTGTCTGCCCTGCTTGCTAAATGTAGAATGTAGACTTCATCAGGACAAGGAAAGTGAGTTGACACTCAGGTCCTCTGGAAAAGTACTCAATAACAACCAGTATGCAGTTGTGACCTATGGATGCCATCTGGATATTTCTGGTTAATGACGAAAACCTTATAATATTTCATTAAAAAATCTACCAAAGTAACTAACTCTGGGGATTTGTTCAGTGGTTGAGTGCCCCTGGGTTTCAATTCCTGATATCAAAAAATAATAATAAAATAAAATTTTAAAAAATAAAAAAATAGAAATCCATCTGAAGCTGGGTGTAGTGGTGCCACCTGTAATTCCAGCCACTCAAGAGGCTGAGACATGAGGATCTGAAGTTCAAAGCCAGTCTCAGCAACCTAGTGAGGCCCTAAGCAACTCAGCAAGACCCTGTCTCAAAATAAAAAATAAAAAATGTTGGAGATGTGGCTCAGTGGTTAAATACCCATGGGTTCAATCCCCAGTATCTCCCGACCCTCGCTAAAAAAATAATTCCTCAAGTTCCTCTTCTTGTTTCCCTTAAACAGAGAGAAGTGCTCCAAAACCTGAGCAAAAAGAGGAACATATTGCAAGAGGTGAAACCTGTCTAGCATACCAAAAGCTTTGGAAAGAGTTAAAGTCCAGCTGGGAAGAAAAACATGCTCAAGCCAATTAGAGAGTAAAATGATTTTACTGCAGTTAAATTATGTGATTACATTGGCCTTTATGCCTCAGTGCCTGTCAAGAGCTGAATAAGAGTGCCCAGTCTTGGCAAAGGAGGTGATCATAACAAGAGGCAACTTTATGTCACATGTGAGAAAGGACAGTGCTAGCACCATACCAGCCCTGAAGCTCAAAGCTCTTTAGACATGGTATCACACTACTCAAGCCTTCCTCCATCCTGGCAAAATCAAAAGGGGTTTGGGATTGCTGATCCCATGTCATTGTTGCAAGTTTTTCCAAGGTGACCAAGGAGTCAGGAACAAAAGTGGATAGGGGGCTGGGGGATACTTCAGTGATAGAGTGCATGCTTAGCAAACACAAGACCCTAGGTTCAATACCTAGCAATCCCCAGCCAAAAAAAAAAAAAAAAGAATGTGGAAGCCAGATTTAAGTTCTGATCTCCCACTGCCCATATAGATATCAGGGTCACTAAAGTACTTCTGTAGATCTGTGTGACATCACTACTCCTAACACTAGGATTAATTAAGTCGACTGGCTGCACTAGAATCCAAGAATTGGTCTATCCTCCTCTCTCTTTCAGGGGCTGGTTGAGGATAGAGATCACTCATTTCTGCACTCCCCATGCCCAGCTCACAGTTCAGTCAATGTGCTACCTTAACTTACCATTTCCAGGCCCATGAGATAAGGACACCACAGTGACCAGGAAAGTAGCAAGCAAACTCCTCCTTCCCTGCTTAGAGTCCTTTTCTCCTATATGCCTTGTGATGGTTACCATGGAATGAGTCCCCAGTCTGGCTACAGAAGACCAAAGGTAAATTGGAGCACAAATATGAATAGAACTAAATTTACAGAGCTAATGGTGAACTAATGAATAGTTCTTCAAAATATCTGTGGAACAATGATTTTTTTTAAATGTCTGACTAGGATAATATCTATTAAAAACAAAAACCACAAAACATGGTGCCATGCACATCATCCCTGAAGAAACCCCAAACACAAGTCTGATGTCCAGAAATCAATATTTCCTGCATCAGTAAGCAGAGAGGCAGGACCATACATGGGCTCATACCTGCTGACTTTCCTGAGCAGGAGGAACAGAGGTGGCTTGTGCAGGTGAAGAAGGGAGGCTAGGTGAGGTAGGAGGTACTGTGCTGGCATGAGGCTGGGTCAGGAAGGCCTGCTGCTCAGGAAAGTCCGGGGACAAGGTTGGGACATGAGTCCTGTCCTCCTCGGAGATTACAGGCTGCTGGCCAAGCACCAAGAATACCAGCTCTTCTTTCTCCCGGCACATTTCAGTAGAGATGTCATGGAGGCTGAGGTAGTCCCTCAGGTCCTTCACCTTCATCTTCATGAGCTCCTCCCGCTGAAAGGCTGTGGCTCGGAACCGTTGGCAGAGAAGGCAGAGGCGGGGCCCATTCCCCTCTTGGCTTGAACAGGTCATGCAGAAATTTTTCTTACAGTCCAAACAGGTCTGCTGCTTAGAGCAAAAGGCAGAGGAAAATGTGTCAGCTTGAGGCAATAAGACAGATCTGGCAGGACCACCACACCTGGCAGGATCCTTCAAGTCACTTTGTTACAAGCTGTCTCCTATATCCAAGGGCACAAGCTACTTTGCAGAACCCAGAAGAAAAGCCACTCAAAGATACCTGTATATATCTATGTATTCATGTACAGGACACTTGGCATTTAGAATTTTATTTAAAGCTTCTTAATTAGTTTTACTGACAGGTTACCTGAAGCTATTAATTAAAACTACCACCTTTGGAATTCAAATACTCTGCATTTTTATTAAACCTCCTTCCCCATTTTTCATGATTATCACCTTGAGTATATAACTTTGCTTCTCTGGCACTTAGTTTCCACATCTATAAAATGGGGTAATATCAGTACTTATTGCATTTAAGTATATCTGACATGTAATGAGTTTCCAATAAGTGCTAGTGATTTTAGTTATTATTTCTAGGAAATATTGGCTAATGATAAAAGCCAAGATTCAAGTCCTAAACTGTCATTCTTTCTACTTTATTGCTAAGGAAAGAAGGTAAATGTGTGAAAGTTAAGGTGGCAGGTGTTGCTACTGTCAATTAGTATTAATTCAATTTATGGAGGTGTTATTATGTGCTAGAGCTATATCTAGCTTGTCACTGAATTCTCAAAGCACCCCGCAAAGTAGGTATCAGGGTTCTTTCATGATTTGCAAAGCAACAAGAAGGGAAACTGAGTATTCTGTTCAAGGTTAGGCAGGAAAGGCAGAGCTGAGGTTCACAGTTGAGGTCCGAGTCCAGTGCCTATGATTATGCCCCTCTCACCCTGCCCTGCTGCCACACTCAGAACCATCCAGACAGGCAGCAGTACTGAGTCATGAGCCTGGCTTTCCACCTCCAAACACCCAAGCCAGCGCCCCATCCAGAGGCTGGTACCAGCTTCCACTAATCTAGCAAGGCCACTCAGAGTGCTGGGAGATAGGTGGTGTATAAGGTCACTTCCAAAACAAATATTTAGATATAATGAGAGGCCCCAGACACTAGGGCACTCTCCTTTGTGAAAACACAGAGTGTCTTGGCGACAGCACCTGACAAACAAGCTGGCACAGCCTGGCGGCAGCTCCTCCCACAACCACAAACAGCACGCCAGAGTTTGCTGGACCCACAGGAAGCAAAGCCTTGTTGCTCAAGCTGCAGGCTGCGCCAGCACAGTGACACCTGGCTGAGCTCAGTTCCAGCCAAGGGTAGGTCACCCTCCCAGGAGAGGAAATTCCCTCCCAGCACCCTGGGTTTGTCCTCTTGAGCACCCTCACTGATCCTCTAAAGAAGTTAAACACTTTCATTCTGTGATGACTTAAGCATTAACCTGCATGTTTCTGCTTCCTCTCTTCTAAATATAGGAAGCTGTGCAACCCATGTAAGAATGCCCAAGAGAATTAAGAATCTCATAATCAAGGTCATAGGAACCTTATGTGGGGCTGAAGCTAGTCCACATAGTTAAGGCAGCTGCAACTAATGTTTGTGTAAGCATCATTCCTACCATAAAGGGAAAAGAACATATTAATCATCCAGTTTGGGCTATTAAGTCTTAGAAGGTATTGCAAAAGGACACACACCAGCTCCTTTATTCTCCACACAGTTATAACCAGACGATGAACTGCAGAGAGTGGCAGAAAAGAACACATGGCTGTGCTAACATCATAATGTTCTTACAGGACCAGCAGTCATGCAGGTGGAGTATTTGGGGTTCATTCATATCTAAAATTTTCCCATGTTAAAATGGAATGTTTAGGATGGCTGACAGTGAAATGAAGAGGCGTCAATGTCCTAAAGCTGTGGTCCTGACATGAACATTACTTAAGTCAGTGCAGTCTGACAAGCTCTAGCTTGACACAATTATATAGCCTATGTGGCTCAATCAACCAGATCCAAAGAATTCTATTCTTCAAATGTGTGTGGCTTGTTGGATGAAAGATCAAAAAGGAAAGATAGCAACTTGGCTTCTTTGTACCCCTGCCACCAGGGACTCTGAAGTAAGTGAACATCTGCTCAATACTCTAGAGGAGGAGGATAGCGCTCAAGGCTAAATTCCCAGAGTTGAGTGTGGTGGCAGAGAGAGCAAAGCAGAGGGGGAAAAAGCTATAAACCAATGTGGGCAGAACAGCAAAGGAATCCCTATATGTAAATTATAGCAAATGGTTCAAACCAGTCAATTAACAAGGTAGCGGGAAAGATGAATGAGGGACAGCAACATGCCTGCAGAAATGCCCAGAGTACACTCAGACACCCAGCATCAAGAGCTGGCAGTGGCACCTCAGGTAGGCACTACCCTTCAGGGATACCAAGTAGGGTACTTTGCTTTCTCATCCTCAACAATCAATCTGCTTCCCTTCTCTATCCCCTCTTTGCCTGTGTTTCCTGGCACTGCTCAGGCCCACTTTTTCAATGTACCAGTCTAAGGACCACTGGGACATTATATGAGAGATAATTCACATAAAGCTAAAGGTACAGAGTCATCTTTTATTCTCTTTCCCTACTGCCTCATCTCAGCTCTTCCCAACACCTAAGAACCACTTCTCTTTCCACTCTTGAGATATGTATACCACTCCTGTGTTTCCAAGCACAACTTCTCCCTCCTCTTCAAAACGGTACAATTAAAGAGGCTGGGTGCCAAAACACAATCCAAAATTGCCAGGGCCATTGCTAACTATAGGCAGGTATTATATGCTGATGGGATAAATGGCTTATGAAAAAATTACAGCCTGCCACTTCTTTCAAAGACTGGGAATTTGGGAATGCAGGGAGTTCTTCTTACTTATATTTTCTTAAAAAGTCCTAAATGTTATCTATACTTTGCACCCAATAGGCATGCAGAAAATACTGACCATAATGGGGGGGGGGGAGACACCAGGATCCATGTAATCAATGCAATTCAACCACTTCTAGAAAAGACATTTTAAAAGCCTCTGGCTATTAAATGCCAAGCACTTAAGATAAGAATGCTGATCCACTTAAGCATGAAATTACAAATGAAAAATTCTTGTAGGAGAAAACATCCTTACTATCCACAAAATTCACTGTGAATTGCACAAAATTAACTTGTACTTTTGCAGCAAGAAAACAACTTACCAATAATCATCTTTCATCATCCAAATTGGGATTCGTCTCCCCCCCCAAAGCTTTTCATGCCATAGTGGCTTTTCTCTGGCAGGTCTCATTGTGTGGTATTTGTTGCCCCAACTTCCCTGTCCAATTGCAAGCTCCCTGGTGAGCAGGGATGGTCTCTATTTGTCTGTCTCCCTAGCAGAGGTCTGTCACTTATCATCAACTCATGCTAAATGTCTCCTGAGAGGGAGCTTTGGAATCCAGGACCTGTTTGAATCAGCTCTGCCACTTAATAGTCATGTGCTCTTGGGCACTGGCTAAATAAAGAAAAGAGTTTTTTTGTGTGTGTGTTTTTTTTCTCTTTGGCTATTTGTCAGAAAGTTGACAGGTACAGTTTTAATATTTTGAACTGTAAGCCTTAGTTTATCATATATAATATGAGACTTGGTGGACTCCAAAACGTATATATAGTTACTATGAGGATTAAATGAAACCAACAATCTAAATTTAAAAAACACCTAAAAATCTAAAGGAAATTAAAAATCTAAATCTTAAAACTAACTCTTACACACACTGGGTGGTTTCAAAAATAATATTTCTCTCAATTTCCCATTACCACCATTTTAACTTCATATCCTATCACCCTCTCTGGGCTGCAAATCTCTCATTCTACAGAAGAAAAAACTTGTTACTGCTGGGCACTGGAAAAAGGACAGCCCACACCCACACCTTCACATAGCCAATGATTCCATTTCCTGCTCGCTGATCTGGGAAGCACGGCTCCCAAGCATTTCAAAAGAAAATCTGTTACAGTAAACAAGCTCCAGCCTCTGTCTACTATGGTCTGGATGCACCTGAGACATCCTTGACATTGCCTTTGATAAAAAGAACAGGTTACCCTGCAGTCAGGCCTTGTACAATCGCAGCTAATGGAGCAAACAACACTGGGGCCTGTTAAATTCCGAGCATCATGTTGGGGGGCTCTTAATACCTTATTTTATTCTAACTCTAGGACATGGCTACCATTGTCATCCTCACTTCACAGAAGGGAAAACTGAATCTCAAGAGAGGTTAAGTCATACAATTAGTAATTGACAAAGCTGTTATCTGAATTCAAGTCAATTGGTTCCAAATCTATGCTGAGATGCTTGGCTTTTACTTGAGTAGTCGTTCTTGAACATCCTTAAAAAAGGGATGGGCCAGGGTCCCTAGCACCACATTAGTAGAGGTCAGGTGGCAGGCATTCAGAGCAAGGCCAATGGCCTTGCCTATGGTCCTAAGGCTGTGGACAGAGCAGATTGAGAAGTCAGCACTCACCTTCCTGGCTGTGTTTGCAAAGTGGGCCCCACAGGCCTTGCAGCTTGGTTCCAAGCCTGTTGGGGATGGGAAGGAGCTGTACCCAGGGTTGGAATAGGCTTGTGTCCTGGCTCCGGGGGCTGGTGGGACCTCCTCAGGCTGTCCATCCAGGCAGAACCAGTTGCAGCAGGTTGCCCACATGATAAAATCTGGTGCAAGGGAGGAAGGGAGGAAAGGTCCAGGTTAAGACACACCAGTACTGCAGATTCCATCCCCAAGAGTGCAGGTGAGCAGGGACCCTGGAGCCACACCTTCCAAGTAGAAGAGAGGATGTGTCCCAGGAATTGAACCCAGGCATGCTTAACCACTAAGCCACTTCCCTGGCATTTTTTATTTTTTATTTGGAGACAGGATCTTACTGTTGCTCAGAGCCTTGCTAAATTGCTGAGATTGGCCTTGAACTTGTGATCCTTCTGCCTCAGCCTCCCAGGTAAGTGGGATTACAGGTGTATGCCACTACACTCAACTCTACTGTTAATTCCTATTATATACATGAGGCAAGGGCATGGTGGCACATACCTCTCTAGTCCCAGCTACTTAGGAGGCTGAGAGAGGAGGACTGCTTGAACCCAGAACAGCCTGGGAAACAGCAAGACCCTGTCTCAAAACAAACAAACAAAAAAAACCACGATGCAGTGGCACATGCCTATAATTTCAACAGGTTGGGAGGCTGACGCAAAAGGATCTAAGTTCAAAGCCAGCCTCAGCAACTTATCGAGGCCCTAAGCAACTTAATGAGACCATGTCTCAAGAAAAAAATAAAGGGTTGGGGGCAGGAGATATGGCTCAGTGGCTTTCAATCCCTGGGTAACAAAAAGAAAATGAAAAAAATACATAGATAAATCAACTCAGGCTCAAAGAATCAAATACAGAGAGCTAAATCGGAGAGAAAGCTAATCTGAGTAGAGTGCTTAGATTCTAAAACCCTAGGTTTTCTGACTCTAAATCTCAGGTCCTCTTCCTTACGCCATGTTGTCCTCTCATTTCCCCTCTTGCCAGTCTGTAAAACCAGCTACTCTTACATATGTGCCCCTAATTCCAGGTAAACTACTAGGACAGTACTTATAACAGTTTCTTACATAGGTGATTTCTTCTCTACCCCGAAGTCACAAATTCTTTAAGGGCAGGGACTACTTCTCTTTCCCATCTGTACTGTACCCTATCAGCCCTGTGCCTGAAGCAGATGTTCAACGAATGTTTGCTTCCTTGCTGAATCAGTGCCTCTGAGGGTTTAAGAAGTTTTGGATTATTATTCCTGCTTTACACATCAAATACTGGTACTGGGGGCAAGAGGATTGATGATTTTTATGATCAAAAAGAGAATCCAATCTCTCAAATTATCAGATCACCTATAAAGAGAGCCCACTAGAATATGAAGCATAGCTGTGACCTATGGGTGTTTTCCACAGCAGAGGAAGACAGTCATTATGGACATTCTGAGCCTGAACTCTCTGCTTACAGAGATAATAAATGAAACATTTAGCCTTATTATTGAATAATTAGTTCACATAAAAGAATGATACTTTCTGTTCTGTTGCCTGACTCATGGTTTTAACAAAGGCACCTTCATAGTAAAAGACATGATAAGCTGGAAGGAACTAGGAGGCACCCCTTGGTCGACTTGTAGAAGAAAGAACAAGGCCAGTTAGAGGAAGTAACCTCTAGGTCCCCAGGTTAACCTTAGGCCTCAATACACCTGCAATACAAGTCATTCTCTCTGGTAGACATGTCTTATTAATACCTGTCTATGACTACTTGCCTGCAACCCTTATGAGAAAAGGGAATGTAACAGTCTTACAGTTCTTAGACAAGTGGCTCAACAAGGACTGCTGAACAAATGAGTCACATACAATATTTAAATCTTCACTAACCACATACTCATTCAATTTCCTGCACATCAAAAACATTTCTCTCAGATTCAGTATTGCTTGTCTGAAGACTCTAAGTTCCCAGAAGACAAAGACCTCATCTGCCTTCCTTGAAATTATGAGTTCACAGGGAATAATGAAGCAAAAAATTCATCACACTGTGTGTGCCTGTGTGTGTGTGATAAAGTAAATGAACTCTTTGTTGACAAGAGAACGAGGACAATGGAGGAGAGTATCCCTCTGAAAAAAGGAACTTTGTTAATTCTTTAAATCATATGTTGGTAGACACATTGGAGACAGCATGTAATGATAAGAACACAGGCTCTGGAATCAGAAGGTCTGGGGCCCAAGCCCTGCTTGACTGCTCATGGGCTGTAGTCTTCCTCTAGTAGGCTGCATCCTTCCCTACTTCATGTTTCTCCTCTGGACATTCCACAGGACATAAAGCGCTAAATAAACATTAGTTGTTGCTATCTGCATTATAACGATTCCTTTAATTACAACTTATCTGGGAAGGTAAGATATAAAGTAAATCTTGAGGTTTCACCACAATTATCTCTTGGCTTTCTGGGCATGTCTCCTGAAAGGGAACAAGATTGTAGGTGATTCACCAATTTTTACTAAAAGCTCTTCACATTCACCTATGCCTGTAACCTTTACTGAAGCAAACCACCTACCCTTCCCAGTGTTAGGTGAGTAAGGCTTAATTAGTACCTATGCTCAAGAAGCCCATAGCTGGGTCAGAGAATTAAAACTGCAAAACCAAAAATTGAAATTTCAGGGTGGTCCCTACTTTTTAAGGGAGACTTATACCTGAGGGTGGCAGGCTACAATGATGGAAGGATAGCTCTATAGGGGCAGAGGCAAGACCAGAGAGACTTCTCAAGTGAGGTACCACATCTTTTTTTTTTTTTTTTTAAAGAGAGAGTGAGAGAGAGGGACAGAGAGAGAGAGAGAGAATTTTAACATTTATTTATTTTTTCTTAGTTCTCGGCGGACACAACATCTTTGTTGGTATATGGTGCTGCTGAGGATTGAACCCGGGCCGCACGCATGCTAGGCGAGCGCGCTACCGCTTGAGCCACCTCCCCAGCCCGAGGTACCACATCTTGATGTGAGAATAGGCGGGATTTTCCCGGGAGTTAGGGATTGGAGGAACTTTTTAGGAAAAAAAAAAAAAGGCATGCACCATGTCATTAGAGAAACTACAAAATGCTTGGTTGGTCAAGGGTAGGAGTAAGATGGGGTGGGATAGATAAGGGCACACAAGTTAAATAAACAGGGAAGACCTCATATTCCAAGGTAAGAAATCTGGTCTTTACCTTATATGTAATGGGACACAGCTGGGGTCTTTAGGCAGCGAGGTTTTATGATGTTATTTGCACATGAGAATGCACGTATAGTACTAGTCAGTGTAGAGGACAGATCAGCAAGGAGAAGGTTAGGAGCAGAAAACTGCTAGAGTAGTACAGGCAAGATATGAGAATGCAGACTTAAAAGAAAGGGACAGATCTCTGACAGAATTAGCAGGATGCATCAATTAACTGAATGAAATAGGAAAAGGAGAGAAAAAGGAGTACAGGACAAATGCAAGGGTCTCTTAATTCACAACAAGAAAACCAGTGAATTTATTTACTGGGATAATGCTCTCAGGAGGAGGCATCTGTCGTGTGGAGGACAGCAGGTGCAAGGCTGAGATGATGAGCTGAGGTATTGTGTTCAACTATAACTCAAAAATAAAAGAAAAAAAGAAAAAAACTAAAAAATAAAATAAAATGGACTGGGAGTGTGAGAGGTGCCCTCCCAGCAGCTCAGGAGGCTAAGGCAGAAGGATAGCGATTTCAAAGCCAGCCTTAGGAAAAGCAACTCAGTGAGGCCCTGTCTCCAAATAAAATATGAAATAGGGCTGGGGATGTGGCTCAGTGGTTGAGTGCCCCGGAATTCAATCCCAAGTAACAGCTCCCAACAAAAAATAAATTAAATAAATGGACTGGGTATGTAGCTCACTAATAGAGCACCCCTGCATTCACTTCCCAGTAGCAAAAAGAAAAGAAAACCAACTGATAACCACAGACTGGAAAGGAAATGAGAAGTGAGACTTGCAAGATTCTAAAAATAAATTATTCTTTCAAGAAACTTGATCATGAGAGAAGGCAGTTAACTAAAGAGCACTGAGGATCACCAAGATAAATGTAGACATATTCAGAGACTGCAGAGGAAACCCACAAGATAAAGAGACTGTAAAGAAGGGAAGCTGGGAATCAATGAAGGGCTAAAGGGCCAAGAGAAGGAAGAAAAGCAATCAGGTGATTAGACTAAGAGGTAGACTACTCTTGGGCAGGAGAAGGGTTATCTCTTTCATCAGAGAGGAGCAGAGAGGTAAAGGCAGATGAAACCAAAGAGAAGTTCACAGCATTAGCAACAGAAAGATAAAAGAATGAAATAAAAAGGAAAGAGGAAATACACTTAGCTATAGAAGAAAATAAACTCTTTTGGTTATAATTCAGTGGTAGAGCTCTCTCCTAGCAAGCACAAGGCCCTGGGTTTGATCCACACCAAAAAAAAAAAAAGACAAGAAGAAGAAAGAAAAGATGTTTCTTCTACACAGGAAAATTACAATGTGTAGATTCCTTAAGAAGTAAAAGCTCTGCCACAAAATGAGCAGACACACTTGGTAAAGCACAAATAGTAGGGTGGGGGCAACCTGAAGGCTGTATGTTACTGAAATCCACATGCTTTAGCAAGCACTTGGGAAGCACCAACATCAAGGATACAAAAAGCAATTGGACAAGATCTTACCCAAGAGGTCTGTAGCCCCAGAAAGATACGGTAGCTTCACTGTGCCATCCTGATGGCACCCCCCCGCCCCCACCGCCAAAAAAAAAAAAAAATCCATCAGCCTGTCCAGATATCTGGTTACTGGGTTCTGTGAGAAGACGTGAAATGTGGGGGCAGGGTTTACAGCTCAGTGGTAGAGCGTTTGCCTAGCATGTGTGAGGCACTGGGTTTGATTCTCAGCACCACATATAAGTAAATAAAATAAACATCCATTGATAATTAAACAATAAAAAAAGAAGACATGAAATTTACCTTTCTGTGATCCCATAGGTCCCATGTTAGGGTGGAGAACAAAGTCTCTTAATCTAGGTATGTATATGTGGGAAAGGGGATGACTACAGGAAGGAGGAGGCTGATGTCAAGAGTCTCAGTGCTAAAAATACCTCAGACCACCTAGGTCTAATAGAACAGGGTCACTGAAATCAGTAGACGAGGATTTTATT